CCCCCCTTTTCCCACATTTCTTCATTCCCTTCCAGGCGTAAGATTATATGGTCGCTTTTAAGAACAAGCAGGCTATCCCAGATCTGGCTGGTTTCCAGAAATTTTGACCTACACCAAAAGTGGGCTTTGCCCTACCTAGAGGAGAAGTTTGGTTTCACTGGTGTGTATATTTGTTTGGTTAAAGAGAAAACTCTATTTGTTTTTGTTTTTTCGTTTTTTAAGAAACTGATCAAGGGGCAAAAACATTACCTTCGATTTTCTCAAAACAGCATTTTTAGGGATAGCCCTCCTTGAGCTTAAAAGCGACCGCATTATTTGAACTTTGAACTTTCCAAAGCCAGCGGTGGTTCTGATGTGTGAGCTCCCGTGGGGGTCACTCTTTTCTATGATCAGACACGATAAGACACCAATAAGACACGATAAAACACGATAAGACACGACAAGACAACGTTAAGAAGCGATAAGACACGATAGGACACGATAAGACACCAATAAGACAAGATAAGACACGTGTCTTATCGGTGTCTTCTCGTGTCTTAACGTGTCTTATCGTGTCTTATTGTTGTCTCATTGGTGTCTTGTGTCTTATCGTGTCTTAAGGTGTCGTATTGTGTCTTATTGTGTCTTATCATATCTTATCGTGTCTTATTGTTGTCTTATCGTTGTCTTATCGTGTCTTATCGTGTCTTATCGTGTCTTATAGGTGTCTTATCGTTGTCACATAGTGCGCGCTCATATGACCTTATGCAGTTGCAAGCGCCGTAAAACCCTGTACTAAACAAACAAACAACTGTCACATCGTGTCTTAGCGTGTCTAAACGTGTATTAACGTGTCTTATCGTGTCTTAACGTGTCTTATCTTTGAAAAGAGAGACCGCTCCCCATGCTATACAACAACAGACAACTGCGACATACCCCCTTTCATTTCCCCGCCAGTGCAGTTGTTCTAATTGGGGCGGCAGTTGTTCTATTTGGGGCGGCAGTTGTTCTAATTGGGGCGGCTCCGCGCTCGAAGTTTGACTTCCTTGTCCTGGGGGAGAAAGTAATGTTTTTTAAAACTTTTTTATCTTTTTGGGGGTGATTATTATTATTATTTTAGTAGTAGTAGTAGTAGTAGTAGTAGTAGTAGTAGTAGTAGTAGTAGTAGTAGTTGTAGTAGTAGTAGTAGTAGTAGTAGTATAATGAAGATCATTTCTATAGCGCCCAATCCGGTGCAAACACAGCTCTAGGCGCTTTACATAAATGCAAATACGAACAATATCACGCACGCGACACACACACACAAATACACACACTCATACACACACACAAACACACACACATACACACACATACACACACATACACACACAAACACACACATACGAACACATAACACGCACACCTGCGCACAAACATGTACGCCAAACACACACACACACACACACACACACATCTACTTGCTTATCACACGCGCACGCTTACACATCGTCACGAAATGAGCATAAAATAATATACACAATGCGATTAACAAAATACATAAATGGATACATAGTCATTTACATAACATTGTATTGAACATGAATCTACTGACATAAAAAGGATGTCATTCAATGTGTCTTTAAAGAGTTTTTAAATTTAGACTATGTATGTCTCAAAGGTTGGGGAAGAGAGTTCCAAACTGACGGAAGCAAGGTGGGCGAACGATCTTTCAGCAAATTTTTTACCCCCTTTTCTAAGAACTCTTAAAAGATACTGATCGCCTGATCTTAGTGATCTAGATGTAACATAAATCTGGATGAGATCACTAAGATATGAGGGAGCTTTGTTATTGACACATTTATGACATAATATTGCAATTTTATATGACATTCTAGCTGACACGGGAAGCCAATGCAACGTTCTTAACATGGGAGTGATGTGGTCCCTCTTCTTTTTCTTAAGTACAAGCCTAGCAGCATGATTTTGAAAACGTTGTAACTTGCGAAGAGTGGTATTTGGTAAGTTGGCTAGTAAAGCATTGCGTGAAAACAAGAAAGATGACACGAGCGTTTTCAAAAACATAGACATATGACCAATTCTACACAATTCACAAAATAAAATGGTACATAAATAATTGATATGATGTTCCATTGACAATTTTGAATCAAAACACATTCCCAGATTGTTTTCTTTATTAGTAAAATACAGTTTTTCATTTTCATATTATTGTTATTATTATTATTATTATTATTATTATTATTAATATTATTATTATTATTATTATTATTATTATTATTATTATAATTATTATTATCATCATTATTATTGTTATTGATATTATTATCTTTATTATTATCATTATTATTATCCTTATTATTATTATTGCCGTTGTTGTTATTGTTATTATTTATATTAGTGAATTAGCATTGTTATTATTATTATTATCATTATTATTATTATTATCATTATTATTAATTTTTTAAAAATCTTTTAGGGGCAGGGGGGTTGCATGTCTAATCGGGGCTTTTTTCGGGGGGGAGGGGAGGGATAAGTAACCTGATCTACTTCTTCCTCCTCTCTCTTTCGTGCTATTTTCAGTTAGTTTTAGTAGTGGTTTTACGGCGCTCACAAATGCATAAGGTTATATGAGCGCCAGAAGATTGGGGGTATTACAAGAGAGTAACAAACATAAAAAAGAAGAAGGGGAGATAAGGACGATAAATGTTTGATAGGACAGAAGAAGCAAGCAACACCAGAGCACCCGCCAACCACCCACAGCCAGTTCCATTTCATGGATAAAACACTAGAGTGAGGAAGCCGATAATGTTTCTGTGTGTCCTATGGGGTCTAAAGGTCTGGTCGCCCGAAAAGGGCCAGTTTGCAGAGGGCTAACTATCCGACCCAGTAAAAAACAGTCAGTTACAGAAACACGGACAAACATGGCCTTTTTATTTTTCGATCTTGGGAGACGGCGGAGCTTCTGCATCAGCAGGAACAATGAAGGATTTAAAAAAGATTACATGGAACCTGATGAAGAATCACTGAAAACGATGTACAGAAAAGTGGGAAGACATGGCATAACATCAAGAGGCTGTCCCAGGATAGAGAAAGGTGGAAAGCGTTTATCCGTGGCCTATAACCCTGGTGCAGGGTGAGAAAGTGTTTGTCCGTGTTATATACCCTGGTGCAGGGTGAGAAAGTGTTTTTCCATGTCCTATACCCTAGTGCAGGGTGAGAAAGTGTTTGTCCGTGTCCTATACTCTGGTGCAGGGTGAGAAAGTGTTTGTCCATGTCCTATACCCTGGTGCAGGGTGAGAAAGTGTTTGTCCGTGTCCTATACCCTGGTGCAGGGTGAGAAAGTGTTTGTCCGTGTCCTATACCCTGGTGCAGGGTGAGAAAGTGTTTGTCCGTGTCCTATACCCTGGTGCAGGGTGAGAAAGGCAAAGGCAATGATGATGATGATATGTGGTATAACGAGGACACCCAGTTAATACGTGGAGTTAGTGGAGTTGTACGAGTGCCAAAAGAGAGAGGGAGAGTGAGGGGGGGGGGGAGGAGAGGGAAGAGAAAGAGGAGAAAGGAGAAAGAAATATTGAAAAAAGACAAACAGAGAGAGTACTCCAAAGAGAGGGTGAGAGAGAAAGAAAGATTTTTAGTTTTAATAAGTGTTTTACGGCATTTGCAACACATTAAGGTCATAATATAAGTGCCGAAGATTAGAGGTGTTGAAAGAGAGTAACGAACACAAAAAGAAGGAGGGGAGGTAGAGACGATAGATTTTTTTATAGGAGGAAAGAAGACCAACAAGACCAAAAACAACAACAGCAGCAACAACAAATGTGAACTCACCTTCCCCGCTGGTCCCACTGGCGTTTACATCCGGCCAACTCGACGACGAGGGCTGTGTAATTCCTGTATTAAGTAAAATAACAGGTGAGGCTTACTTTTACTTTTTTTTCTTTTTCATCCTCTGTTGCCGTTAAGCGTCGAGGGGAGATGCAGTTTTCTATGGTAGGACAGCTCTGCCGCTCTTTCAGTTGTGATGTTATGTTTTCTTAGGGTTACCTTGACACCCTCGATCCACCTTTTGCGTGGCCTTCCTCTTCCTTTATAGCCTGAGTGCTTGGTGTTGTAGCCTCTCAACGCTGGCTGGTCAGGTGACATGCGTAACAGGTGGCCAAACCATTTTATCGTCTGTCTTTCTATGTAACGCAGGCAGGACTCAGTGCCGATAGCTGCTCTTACTTCTTCATTTCTCTGCCTGTCTCGTCTTGTGATGTTAAGAAGGGTTTTGCGGAGACATTTCATTTCGCATGCGGTGATTTTGCTTTCATGGGTTTTGCTTAAGGTCCAGGTCTGGCACTGATAACATAATTTTAGTATGCATATTGAGGTGTTCAGCTGTCTCTTTGTGTCCATGGAGATGTTTGGATGAGATAGAAGAGGTGCGAGCTGGTAGGAGACAGCGTTGGCTTTTTGAGTTCGCATTTCTATTTCTCTGTCTATGGACCCGTTTTTAGGAAAAGTGCTGCCAAGATATTTAAACTCCTTCACTTGCTTCAGTTATTTACTATTGACATGGATTTTCAGGGGACTATGGTTTCGGTTCACTTTCATAACTTCTGTTTTTGATGTGCTTATTTTCATGTTGAATTTCTCACGGAGGCTTTGTTGGTCATGATGAATTAGACATTGGTCGTCTGCGAACAGAAATTCATTTAGGCTTTCTGGGCTTTGGTTTGCTTCTTGCGTTATAGTGTCCATATAATATAAACAGGAGGGGAGATAGAACACATCCCTGTCGTACTCCAGATCTTACTTTGAACCAGTCTGTATTTCCTTCCTTCGTTCTTACTGAGCTTCTGCTGTTGGTATATAGAGCTTTGACATTATCTAACAATTGTCCTCTGACGCCATAATTTTCGAGTGTCTTCCAGAGTTTTGCATGGTTTACTCTGTCAAAAGCCTTCTCTTGGTCTATAAAGACGATGGTGGATTCTTTATGTGTTCTATTGTTTTCTCACATATATGTCGTAATGCGAATACGGCATCCGTGCATCCTCTTCCCTTTCGGAATCCAAACTGATCTTTGCTCAGATTTCTCTCTACAATAGGTCTTATGCGCTGCTCTAGTATCTTGGCATACATTTTTCCTGAGTGGATTAACAATGAGATGCCTCTATATGTTGTGCAGTCGCGTTTGTTGCCCTTTTTTCCATAAAGATACCTATTTGGCTTTCTGCCAGTCTTCTGAGAGTTTTCTTTGTTCCCAGGCTCTGTGGAAAATACGCCTCAGCCACAGTATACCGGTGTTTCCACAAGCTCTTATGGCTTCCGCTGTGATGTCATCTGGTCCTAGGGCTTTGTTCTTGGGGCTGGTTTTGAGTGCCTTTTTTATTTCACTGGGAAGTATTGGTGGTTCTGTTTAATCTCCATAGGATGGTTGGAACTCTACTTGTTGTTCGTGGCAAGCGTCTGGGTTGAGCAGTTCTTGGAAGTAATTTTCCCATCTTTTCTTGATTGCATGTTTGCCGAGAATGGCGTTTCCCTCTTTATCATTTATAATGCATGTCGGGTTGTATGGGTCTTTCCTTATCTGCATGCTCTTCACACTTTTTAAAATTTCTCTTGGGCTTTCCTTACAGATTTTGGTCAGTTTCTCGCCATATATTTTCCATGCATTTTCTTTAGCAGTTTTGAAGATTCTTTTGGTCTCTCTTCTCGCTTTCCTGTATTCTATATAGTCTTCTTCGGTCTTTGACTTCTGCCATTTCTTGAATTTCGTCTTTTTCATTCTAATTGCTTCTTTGGTTTCATCATTCCACCAGCTTGTTGTTCTGCCTTTGTTTCCACCTATTCGTTTGGTGCCACAGCTGTTCTTCATATTTCTGACAGGGATTTTTTGAATGTTTGCCATTCGTCTTCTATGTCTTTGATCTCAGGTGACAGTTTAAGGGGGGGGGGGGGGGGGGCGCTACACCTGGAGGCTATCTCGCTTATTACTGGACCGAATTTTACCAAGTTTCACACATATAACAATCATAGTAAGGAGTTTTAAAATCCGCAATCAAATTTGAGAAAAAAGTTTCGTTTCCATGGATACGCCGCCATATTGGATTTTATTGACATGTCCTACGTAATGAATACCGCACTTATTGCTTATGGAAATTGATTGTTGTTGTTTTTTTTGCATGCGTGTTCACAAGCATTAGATCTAAAAATTTGTCAGCTGTTTTTTTCCTAATCGAATTTTAAAAAATTTAATGAATTTTTTCCTGAGGTAGCATTCAAGTTTGCGAAAAATCCGTGAAAATCCACACTCCAGACACCACCAACAAAAATCTATTCTATATATCGAAAATTCAACAGACAAACTTTTAGTATTACCTTTTCTCTTCATTCTGTGAAAATTTCATGAAGATTGGATGAAAAATGGTGGAGTAATTTTAAAAAGTATAGAGAAAAGTCGCATTTTGAGAAAACGACCGATAAAGAAAAATAAAATACTTACTTTATGAGGAAAGGGCGGTTACAAACATGCCTGGTATGGGGAAAAATACGGTTTTTGTCAGTTCTTATGCCATGAAATAGTTGTAGGAGAGGCTGAGGAAGCTAAAAATGCCTACAACTCAAATTCCATGATTTTGAGCTGAATTTTGATTTTGGGGGTGTAGCCCCCCCGCCCCCTCTTTAAAGTACTCCATGGTAATGACAGATGAGGCATCGTGGTAAAATCAGGCGCTCGTCAAAGTAATAAAATCGGCCAAACTGTTTTCTGCCCATTGAGCAAATTCTATTATTTTTTATGTTTGTTCATTTGTTTGTTTGTTGTTTGCTTGGTTGCTTGGTTGCTTGGTTGCTTGGTTGCTTGGTTGCTTGGTTGCTTGGTTGCTTGGTTGAACACCTTTTAGGTCAATTTCAAAACACCTTTCTGTGTAGATTTTTTTTTTAAACGTCTATGAAAGGCACAACAATTTTGAAAATTTGTAGTTTTCAAAGACTCTCATAGGGAGCACGAGGCAGGGGTAGGTCATGAGAAACTTGGAGTAGATGTGTGGAAAGGGACATGAGAGAGAGGAAGCTCACTTGGAACGAACTAGGAAGGATGGCCCAGGACATAGAAAAATAAAATGAGCTTGTATGTGGCCTATACCCTGCCAAGGGTGAAAGGCACTGATGAAAAACTCTCACGCTTTGGAGCCACAAAACTTTGGCTTGGCGGCCATTTTCTCGCTTATTTTACCTGACACCAGTCAACCCTCGACTCTTTCGATCACAAATGTCTCGACTTCTATTCAAGGTAGATTTGTATTCTTTCACTAAAACCGTTACAAATAAACACGCTATAAGAAAATGCCCGTAATTCTATTTGCCCTAAAATTGACAATGCTCAAAATTAACAAGCCCCTCATTTTACCACGATGACTCATATAGAGCGGATGCATATTTTTCTTCTGTACACACATGTGTCACACCACGGTGAAATCAGGAGCTCGTTAGTGTTAGGGCAGAATGAAGTTATTGGTACGTCTGGTAATTTGTATTTGCACTCTACAATAAGATCACAGTACCAATGATATTTAAGGTTTTAAAAAAAAACAGAAGAAAGAAATATTTAGGTATAATGAGTTCACTTATGTACAATTATTTTCTAAATTTTGAAATGAAAAGGAATTACTGACAGACTTACTTGACATTGATGAGGTGTTTCTTGACCAGCTTAGGAAGAGAAAGAGAACAGAGTTTATCATCATCATCATCATCATCATCATCATCATCATCATCATCATCATCATCATCATCATCATCATCATCATCATCATCATCATCATCATCATCAGGTACTCAAAAGTGGCAAGCTATCCCCTTCACGATACAGAGTACCGTCCTCAACGAAAACAGCCACAACCAATGGGGAAGCTCTGTTCGAAATTCGGACGGAACTGAGAGGAGTAAAAGGCAAAGGTGATGATCCTGTTAAGGCACGTGAAGCTGTAGAGTATGTGATCAAAGAGGTTGGTGCGGATGTGACAATTTTCACCTATGGACCGGCTGTCGCAGGATACCGCGAAGGTGGAGCAGCATCAGTTGTGATAATGAAAGATGAACCACCACGAACAGAAATTATTAAAACTAAAGGTGCATTCCTTACATCATCTTATGACGAGGAATGCCAGGCAAGGATGTCTGCTGACACAATGGATTGCTGACAATTGCCACAGTAGAACCAATGTGCTGAACTTTACTGACAGTCAGTCCCTCTGCAAGGGGCTGCTAGGCAACAGCTCGGACATAAATGATTTGTGCCGTAAGTTCAGTGAAGCCGATGCCACAATAAAAATCCAATGGATTCCAAGAATTTATCTTTGAAAAATAAAAGTTGATGCTTCGTAGTGTTCCGAAATCAGGGTTTATCCTAAATCCTGAAGATGTTCGGAGCCAGCCAGGCATACATCGGAAGAAATCACATCATTAGAAAGTAAGTAATTGGGTTAGGAGTCTATTCCTACGATTCCTAGCCTTCAATAATTGAAAACTCGGCCGCCCTGCACTATTCTGTCCCCGTCGTTTTATGCAAGAAAAATTCTGAAATTATGCAAACTGAGCCCAAAAATGTGAAACTGTGCGATTCTGTTAATTTTAGCTTACTTTACTTTACTTTTTTCTTCCGCTTGTACCGGGGGGTGTCGCGGGGAGACACAGGCGTCTGTCTGCAGCAAGGCGAGTGGCCTGTAGGAGGGACATCCCGTGAGCTTTGAGGGTGTCTGCCACAGATTCACTCCTTCGTCGCCTTGGTCTTCCTCTGGCTCTCCATTCAGAATATTTAATGTTGTATGTTCTCAGAGCTGGATGGTTTGAGGGCATCCACGTGAGGTGTCCGAACCACTTGACCTTTTGTTTTTCAATGTGTAGTAGGACTGGTGTTGCTCCCACGGTGTCCCTTCTGACTTCATTTTTATTTTTGTCTCTTCTTGTTTTGTTGACCGCTCTTCTTAAGCATTTCATCTCGCATGTGACCAGTTTCCTCTCTACGGCTTTTGTTAGGGACCATGTCTGGCACTGATATGTGAGTGTTGGAAAGAAAATGGCGTTGATGAGCTTCGCCTTGGTGCTCATGGGGATATTGGGATGTTTCCGGAGAGGGACGAGTTGATAGCTGACTGTGTTGGCCCTATTTCTCGATCTAATTTTCCTTTTTTTGTGAAAATGCTGCCCAAGTATTTGAATTCTCTGCTTTGTTTTAGTTGGGATCCATTGATGTTGATATTCACTTTGGTCTCCTGCTAATTGTCATGACTTCGGTCTTGCTAATATTGATCTTCATGCCATATTTCTCGCAGCTGGCATTTAGTTGGTTCATAAAAATATGCTCCTGTAGCAGGTTTTTGTTGTTCATCATTGCCAGGTCGTCTGCAAACATGAGTTCGTTGAGTGCCTCTTGGTCTGGATTGGCCTCCTTTGTAATCTGGTCCATGTAGATCACGAAGAGCAGAGGGGAGAGATTGCAGCCCTGTCTGACTCCGGATGTTACTGGAAACCAGTCCGATGTTCCACTGGTAGTGGGGACTGCGCTTCTGCTGTTGGCACGGATAGCCCTGATGCTGTCTAGCAGCTGTCCCTTGATGTCGTACTGCTCTAAGATCTTCCATAGCTTGTTTCTATTTACTCGATCAAAGGCTTTTTCTTGATCCACAAATACGAGATGGAGATCTTTGTCGTATTCCAAAGCCCTCTCACACAGTTATCGGAGTGCGAAGATTGCATCAGTACACCCTCTTCCTTTTGTAACACCAAACTGGGCGTCACAGAGATGTTCGACCTTTGCGCGAGTGCGTCGCTCTAGGATCTTTGCATACATTTTCCCCACATGGCTGAGAAGAGATAGGCCTCTATAGGTGTTGCAGTCTTTCTTGCTGCCCTTTTTCTTCCATATTGGCACCACTATCACATTTTGCCAGTCTGCTGGTACTTTTCTTTCTTTCCATGCTTTCTGGAAGATGATTGTAAGCCAATGTATTCCGGTTTCACCGCATACAATTCGCAAGAATGGCTTCGGTTGTGATGCCATCGTCTCCAACTGCCTTGTTCTTTGGACTAATCTTCAGTACTTCTCTCACTTCACTCTCCAGGATAGTAGGTTCTGAGTGCTCTGGGTAGTTGGCGGTGAATGGGGCACTGTGTGTTTTGTGCCTGTACTCCTGATGAGTTTAGTAGTGCTTGAAAATATTCTTCCTATGTCTTTTTCAATTTTAATTGTTAATTTTAACAAAGAGTGCTAAAGGAAAATAATCAGAAATTATGCAAAAAATCATCAAATTATGCTAAATTATGCGGGATGCATCAAACCACGGGGACAGACTAATTGGCGGGGCACAGACGCAGCCGGGCCCTGGCAGGTCGAGCTAAAGCAGCCCGCTTCCTTCTTGCTCTGAGTAGCAGTAATAATAATAATAATAATAATATATAGAATTTGTATAGTGCAAATCCCCGCTCAACAGCAAGCTCTGTGCGCTTCATAATCTGTACTATTACCCCAGCCGACCAGAATGCATTCTGAAACAAACTCAACTTACTGGGAAGAATACAATGCAAGCAACCATTTATAGGTGCTAAAACACTAACATACTGACAAGACCTTTCACTGTCTGTGGCCGGGTACCCATTCCCACCTGGGTGAAGTGAGGAAAATTCGAATAAAGTGCCTTTCCCAGGGACACAACGTCGGACCCGCGGCTCGAACCCCCGAAGCCGCAACTTCACGATAAC